TTCCACAGGTGGTCTGCCCCAGGGCCTGGAGTTTGGCTGTGGAGGGGTCTTGGGTGCGACAAGGTGGCAGAAGTTCCCACACTCATGATGGGTCTGGATCCTGACTGGAGATGAATCTTGCGCGTGATGAGCAGGAGTAGGGGTTGGACCCATACTCCATTTTCCATTTTTTGTTGATTTTTAAAGAAAGAGCTTTTAGTCTTATTGATATTCTTAATGTTTATTATTTATTTCAGTAGTTTAAAGTTTTATTCGTTCTTCTTTCTGCATTCAGATTTATCTTCCTGTCACTTTTATAGTGATACATGATGCTATTTTGAATAGTATATGTAAAAAAGGGACTATATATTCAACTCTGAACACTATGCACATTCTAAGAAATGGAGTCAGTTGTGTCTTCACTATTACTTAGTGCAACAAAATTGGTACTTGACCCTTGAAGATCCTTTTCTTTTATTTGGGTTGAATTCCTTATTTTTAAACCTTCATTTTTTTCTTTTTATTAATTTAAAATTTTTATTTATTGGTATATATTTGCTGTACAAAATGATTGTATTTCTTCTGGGGAGTTAGTGCACATACATACTGTGTTAGTTGATATATTATGTGAACTTGGCTGAATCAGCTTTGGCAGCATGGGGCCCTCGCCCTGCAGGTGGGCAGGGCCCAGGAATTAAGAATTCCTGCCACCCTGTGTGACTTTGTGTCACCCCACCCGGCTTCTGAGGAGAAGTCTCAATCTTGGAAGGAGCTTGATCTTGGCAGCCACACCACTTTGGAGGAGCTCCGATTTTCACTGTGATGCACTGGTCTTCACAGTCAACACAGAAGGAAGAGAGAGGCTTGATGGACACCGAAGCTGCTGATCCTTCTCTGCTCTTCATTGTTTTCTGCCCAATGAGCTGCTGACATTTGCCTTGGAGCCAGCAGAATATGGACTGAACCCTCCAGTAACTATGAGCTGAAGAAACCTTTCCTTCCTTCATTTTGAGTGTCAGGTATTTGTCCCAGCAATGAGTAGAAAGTAACTAAGATAGAATTTGGTACCAGGAGTGGAGTCGTTTCTGTTTCTATATCTGACAATGTGGATTAGAAGCTTTTGAGACTGGCTTATGGGAAGAGATAGGAAAGGTTCAGAGATGTCACCTACAAGCATAGCACTGAAACAGCTTTGGCTGTTCTCTTTGGGAGATTCTGGTCAGAGCTCAGACCAGAATGCTGTGAGGAAGCCTGACTGTAAAGACCAGGTTGGGGAGGTTTCTGCTTGGAAGAAGGACAGCATTGGTTGTTGGACTGTGGATGATTTGTGTTATGGATTGACAAAAAGTTTGTCTGCATTTTGCTCCTGTCCAGAGGCTTTGTCTGAGACTGAAATTAAGCACAGTGACTAGTTAATCTTGAAAAAGAAATTTCAAAGCAGCCAAATATTGGGGCAGTGGCATGGTTGTTGTTTAGCCAGATTTATGTTAAGAATGAAGAGCAAAGAGCCAAAAAGGATGATTTAAAATGTTGTAAGTTTGGCCAGAAAGGAAGTACCAGAAAGGTTATGGACTGTGAAGACGGAGGTGAGAGGACCTCCATTGCTGAGAAGGAACAGGAGAGTAGATAAGATGTCCTGAGGGCATCACAGGAAGTGGCAGGTTCTTGCAGCCTCAGAATCGCAAGGGTGAGAGACTTTTCTTTGAAGAGAAAACTGCAGAGCCCCATGTTCCAGAATGGAGGCGGCAGCCACACCAGATTGTACAATGGTGTGGGCATAGAGAATTTGTTTCTCAGAATCAGGGTCAGAGTGCTCAGTAATCCAGGCACTCAACCCCTACAGTCAAGAGAGAAGGAAGCCTGATTACTGGTTCAGCTGGAAGCCACCCTTGGCATCATCCACATGGCTTTGGTTTTAGGTGCATGCACAATGCAGGCATTCTGAGGTTCCACCCAGATTTCAGAAGAAGGCATGGTAGGCCCAGCGGTGTGCCTCTGAGAAGGCAGTGTGTGAAGCTGTGAATGAGAAGCCTACTCAGTGGAAACCTCAGAAGTTTGAAAAAGCCAGGAATGTGGATGGTCTAAGAAAAGCTGCAAAAAGGGAGCAAAGCAGGCCTAAGAGAAAAGCTGTAAGAGCTACCAGCAGGAACTCCATAGGGGTGGAGCCACGTAAGATTTTTGGAGCTCACAGTCCATTACAGGGTGCTTTGCGTGGTCCACAGGGAAATACAGGACTTAACATTTGCCCTTCGGGACTTTGGGCTTGTTTTGGTCCCAATTGTTTGTATCCGGCTGTGCATACCTTTTGGAATGGCAATGCTTTATTGTGCCTTTTAATGTTGGAAGTGTCTAACTTTTCATTAGTACAGGGGCTCACAGCTAAGAGTTTGCCTTAGATCTTGGAAGCTTGGGACTTGGACTTTCCAGTGTTGCTGAAACTGATAGGACTTTGACAACTCTTAGAGATGGACTAAAATGTCTTTTGCATAAACAGATGTGCATGAATCTTTGGAGGGCCAGGGGCAACATGTCATGGTGCTAATGTTATACAATGTTCAAGTTGTAAAATGTTTAAGCATGTCTATGTTTCTGGAAATTGGCTTAAAAAAGTATATGTCTTGTTGCCAAGTTGACAAGGGAGGATTGTGTTAGTTGATACATTGTGTCAACTTGGCTGAATCAGCTTCAGCAGTGTGGGGGCCTCTCCTTGCAGGTGGGCAGGGCCCAGGAATTGAGAAATAAACCTTCAAATTTTTATTAGACAATGTTATGATGCTATATATACTGAAAATTTTACTTTGATCCTTTTGACTTATGATTTCATGCCCTTCCTCACATCTCCTCCATCCATACTTAGATTTCCTTATCTTTTACTACACTCTGTATGGCATTGCAATTCTTTCACACCTTACTTATGTTGGACGATTTACATTGTATATATATATATATTTATTTATTTATTATCTTTTTTTTTGGGGGGGAGGAACCGGGGATTGAACTCAGGCCCTTGCGCTTGCCAGGGAAGCACTTATTTCAGAGCCTTCTCCTTGGCCCAAGATTTACATTGTAAATATGACTTTGCCAATATTCATGAGTTCCATTGTGTTATTTCTGTTCTTGACTATGGCTTCCTTCCAAGGTACACTGTTGAGGAACATGTGCTCTACTGGTTTTATTCTTATCATTCTCTGATGAACCCAACATGCATTTACTTCACCAAACTATGATGTATTTTTTTAAAAAAAGTCCTATCACAGTTCACAGGAGATGACAGTTTCAGAAAATTTAATCAGGCTTCTTTGGTCTCTTTAAAGTTACAGAAAGGGTAACTACCCTCAGGATGATGATGACTTTCTGGGTGACATCTCAGCTGAATAACTGTTTTGGAGGATCCCAAGCAAAAGTTGTGGAAAAAATAGTTCGTGTGTGACACTATTGCCTTTCTTTCTTCTGGTAATTTCTGAATAGTAATTAAAGCAAGCATATTTTAAATTCTCATTAGTGTTTTTCCTTCACTTTCTGTTTTCTTTTCATTCTCTATCCCAATATTTGAGATATTAAATATTATTTCAGTACTTTAAAGTTTAATTTCTTCTTTCTGCTTTCAAGTTTATGCACCTGTCACTTTCATAGTGATATATGACTTTATTTTGAATATTGTTTTCCTGATGCAATTTTGAATATATAACCTTTGTATATTCATTGGCAACTTGTAAAACAATGTGACTATGTATTTCCCTCTGAGAACTGTTTATGCACAGCCTAGGAAGTGGGGTCTGTTGTGTCTTCAATTATACTTACTGCAACAAAATTGATACTTGACCCTTGGAGTTTCTCTCTCTCTCTCTCTCTCTCTCTCTCTCTCTCTCTCTCTCTCTCTCTCTCTCTCTCT